TTTTTTTTTTTTTTTTTCACGCGTTGCAATTGAAATCTGTTCACGCATTTTCCAATCTGCACTGATATATCTATTATCTATAACAAATTTTCTAATTATTACCACATTTGCCATATTTTGTGCAATTTTAAAGTACAACTATTCCTTATTTTATGCATGCTAATTTGAAAGAGGATCATATATATATATATATATATATATATATATATATATATATACCAATTTTTTTTATCGTCTTCTCCAACTCATACAAGTTTCAAATTATAGAGTATAAAAAACATTGAAATACAGAGAAAAAATACATAAAAAAATGGCACGAGTCTGAGATACACTCAAGGAAGTCAATCGCAGCAACAAACCTTATTTAAATCTGGAGCCAATCGAAGCCATTGAATTCATTGAATTCAGATGTCCAATTGCACAAAAAAATGCAGGCAACAAACTTATCAAGAAATATCATGACGAAAACAGATTCACAGGTAATATTACTATCTTCAAACTACATATTTTGTACAATTATCAGATTTATTCGCATTGTTTTGAATAGTCAAAGTGTAAATATACCTTGAAATTAATTCATGCTTTTGGATTGTTGTAGTTAATTAATTTCTAAATATAATGTCATTGTCAATTAATTGAAACAATCCAACAAAACACAGACCGACTGTCATGCTTTGTCGGTCTGTAGTCAGGCATCCAACGGTATGTGTTTTTCAATTAATTCATCCTTTCGATGTCTGAATTTCTTTCAAGTTCCACATGCGTCAGTTTCCCATTATGGTATCATACGCCATGACTATCAACACGAGCCAGAAACAATCGTTATCGCGTGTTGATTTATTTTTTAAGAAGCTTGTGTTCAGCCATGGATAATTATACGTTGTTGTCTCCCGTGTCACCAACCGAAATGGTTTGAAAATATTAGTTTGTGGCGACGATGACTCGCCGCCGAATCAAACAAAAAAATCGTTGTGTACAATGAAATTTCCAATAAAATTTATGAATTTTGTAATTTGCGCCTAACGTGTTTACTTTTATTACAAATATAACAAGTTTATTAAATTTAATATTTACTATTAAAAAATGTTTAGAAATATACCATCTCTCCATCGCACGGCCGCGACTAGTCTGAATGAATACATGGGGGGTGATAAGTTGCCTAATCGGCCAATTCTATCTAATTTCTCCAAACAAACACGACCTTAGTTTGTCAACAAGGTGCATTTGGTACTCCGTACTCGGATCCGTGTGGGCAACCCGATTAACTGTATCATGAGCCTAACGCCACCGTCGGCTGTCAAAAATAAATTCCGGCTGCCGTCGCCGCAGGCCTAAATCCGCACTCGCAGTTCAATTACAATGAAGTACTGAAGTCAAATAACCAAAAAGGATAACAAACCCCTATTATGGAGGCCACAAATTCGAACGCAATCGCTCCCACTCGTTTCCCTACACACCATACATCCTCGGACATCCTCCCTCAAGCTCGTATCCTCTGCGATATCGTCGCCACCGCCCCCGTACACGAAGTCGAGGCTCGCCTGGGCGCCGCCCTCATCCCGCCCGAGCCCGAAATCGTCCAGCAAGTCCTGAAGCACTCATACAACACCCCCTCCGCCGCTGCCAAGTTCTTCCGGTGGGCGGGTCGGTCTGCTAAGCACACGGCATACTCATGGAACCTCATGGTGGACTTGCTGGGGAAGAACAACCTCTTCGAGCCTATGTGGGACGCAATCCGGTCCATGAAGAAAGAGGGTTTGCTCACGCTGACAACGTTCGTCTCAGTTTTTGAGAATTACTGCATCGCCAGGAGGTTTGACGAGGCTATTATGACTTTCGATGTCATGGAGAGGTAAGGAGAATCTCTATTTTGAGTTGTTTTGCTTTTTACATAGCTAAGGGGTTTATGGTGTTGTGATTTTGTTACCTTTTGTTTTCCCAAGTGGTTAGTGAATATGTTTGGTTTTGTTAATGCAAAAAAACAATGCTAAGAATTAATCACAGGTATTAGGAGCTATAAGAATAATTGGCCGTTTAGAAAGAAAAGGATATAATGATGGCGAAAGAGCAAAGTTACAAACTGATGAACCTATTAAGAAACTCTATCTTTTCGAGACAGTCTATATCTATGAGCTTGAAATATGTAGATGAATGGATGAGTAGTCGCGCTGGTGTTTTGTACTCAGTCTTGTAATTTACCATCAAAATGTGCTTTGAACGAGATAAAGCATTGTTAAATTTTACCGTTCGACTCAAATGGGTTTAGTTACTTTCCTAATGCATGATAAACAGGACCCTTCTTCTCTTTTTGAGCACGAACAAAATTGAAGGCTTAATACGCAAGTCCTCTGTCCATGCATTGCCTCCTCCGCATAATCTTGACCTTAAAATTGAGAGAATGGAATACAAAGGTGCAGCTTGATAGGAAGAGGTCCACAGCTGAGTTAATCTGAGTCATTTGGAATTTGGAATGTACTACAGCAAGCTGCTAATAATATGCAAGTTCGGCTTGGTTTAATTTAAATGGATCACTCATGAGAATTGAGATCAGACCAAACCCAGCTTAAATAGCTTAGATATTGTCAATGTTCTACGGCAGATACGACTTAGGCTTGGGTTTGTATTTTATCTATGGAGACCATAATGATACTTCACTTTTCAGTCACGATTGGATGGCACACCTTCCACTTGAACGAGTCTCTTCCCTCCCGATAACGTGCAATACGCTGGGAGGGGAGTCCCAGCACGGCAGAAAACTCTCCGACGCTCAAGTCAGAACTCGCCCAAAACTATGTATACAAAATATGTACGATAATCGTGGAACTGTGTGTTGTGTAATGTCAATAAAGTGTCGTCTAAGACTTTGGAATTTCCAATCCGAAGAGAGTTCTTGTTAGGGAAAGAGATCCACAGGGATCCTACTTCCTAACTTACCACGTCAATATCGTGACAAGAGTCCTTTTGCGAGCAATTTTTTCCTTATTACTTAGTTTCTTCTCCCCTTTAATGTTTTACCCAGGGGATACTTAGGTCGTAGCTCTGACCTCTCTGTTATGACCCTTCTAAGGACGTCTTAGACCTCACCTGTAGATCCCTCTTGCCCACATACCACCCGACCTTCATATACATTGAGGTCGACTACTTTACCGGGCTCCTGGAGGCCGATACCTCTAGGTCGGGTTTGTTCTGTAAGCTCGGCACTTTAAACCCGTGTTCGGACTACTTGGCCGAACATCTTTCTTCTTATCTTATGGGAGTTCTCCTAGCTCGATTACAGCCGAGCTACTCTCTTAGACCGAAATGGCGACTATGCTCTGGGTGCTATATCATCTGGCCCCCCATTTAGAACTCACTGGCTTGTGCTGAAATGGTTCTGATGACTGAACTTAACAGCCTCCTCCTCCTCTTTTTTTTTTTTTTTTT